GACAGTAAAACTATACTAGCAGGGGAACTTAACATTCCTCTCCCAGAATTCAATAAATAAAATAAAAAAGAAACAACAAGTTAAGGAGATGAACAACATTTTAGAAAAGGTAGATATGATAGACCTCTGGAGAGAACTGAATGGGAATAGGAGGAAATATACCATTTTCTCTCCTGTACATGTCACTTTAACAAAAATTAACCATGTATTTGGACATAAAAACCTTGCAATTAAATGCAGAAGAGCAGAATTATTGAATGCATCCTTTTCAGGACATAATGCAATAAAAACTGCATTAAATAAAGGACCATGGAGATATAGATTAAAAATTAACTGGAAACTAAATAAACTAATCCTAAGGAATGAGTGAGTCAAAGAACAAATCATAGAAACAATAAATAATTTTATTAAAGAGAATGATAACAATGAGACAACATACCAAAATTTATGAGGTATAGCCAAAGTAGTACTTAGGGAAAATTTTATATCTCTAAACACTTAACATAAAAAAAGGAACTAAGTAAAAGCAGATCAATGGATTGGGCATGCAACTAAAAAAGAACAAATTAAAAATCCACAACTAAGTATCAAGTTAGAAATCCTGAAAATCAAAAGAGAAATTAATAAAATTGAAAGTAAGAAAGCCATTGAGCTAATAAAATAAAATAAAACTAAACTAAATTAGGAGCTGGTTTTATGAAAACAATAAGTAATAAAATAGACAAAACATTAGTTAATTTGTTTTAAAAATTAAAGAAAACCAAATTACCAGTATCAAAAATGAAAAGGGTAAATTTGCAACCAAATGAAGATGAAATTAAAGCAATTATTTGGAGCTATTTTGCCCAATTTTATGTCAATAAATCTAACAAATTAAGTGAAATGGATGAATATTTACAAAAATAAAAATTGCCCAGATTAACAGAAGGGGAAATAGGATACTTAAATAACTCTATATTTGAAAAAGAAATTGAATAAACCATGAATGAGCTCCCTAAGAAAAAATCTCTAGGACATGATGGATTCACAAGTGAATTCTATCAAACATTTAAAGAACAATTAATTCCAGTACTAAATACACTATTTGGGAAAATAGACAAAGAAAGAGTCCTACCAAATTACTTTTATGACACAAATATGGTGTCATATAAGAACAGCAAAAATAGAGAAAGAACTCTACAGACCAATCTCCCTAGTGAATATTAATGGAAAAATTTAAGTGAAATACTAGCAAGGAGATTATAGCAATATATCACAAAAATCATGCATTATGACCAGGAGGTATTTAAACCAGGAATACAGAGTTGGTTCAATATTAGGAAAACCAGCAGCATAATTGACTATGTCAATACCAAAACAACAAAAAATCATATGTTTATTTCAAAATTTGCATTGAAAAGGCTTTTGATAAAACATAACACTCATTAAAAACTCTAGAAAGCATAGGAATAAATTGAGCTTTCCTTAAAATAATTAGTATCTGTCTAAAACCATCAACAAGCATTACCTGTAATGAGGAAAAAGCTAGAAGCCTTCCCAATAAGACTCAAGATGAAGCAAGGAAGTCCATTATCACCATTATTATTCAATATTGTTCTAGAAATGCTAGCTATAACAATAAGACATGAAAAATAAATTGAAAGAATTAAAATAGGCAATGAGAAAACACTCTTTGCAAATATGGTAGTGTACTTAGAGAATTAACTTAAAAACTAGTTGAAATAATTAACAACTGCAATAAACCCATATAAATCATTAGCATTTCTATATATCACTAACAAAATTCAGCAACGAGAAATAGAGAAATTTCATTTAAAATAACTGTGGAGAGTATAAAATATTTGGGAGTCTACCTCTAAATGAATGCGATTACAAAACTCTTTTCACACAAATAAAGTCAGATCTGAGCAATTCAAGAAATATTAATTGTTCATGGATAAGCCAAGCCAATACGATAAAAATGACATTTCTACCTAAATTAACCTACTTATTCAATACTACACTAATCAAACTACCAAAAAATTGTTATCTTTGTTGTTTATGTGATTAATTATGCTAATCGATTTTTTAATGTTGACATATCCTGGTATCCATATTGTGAATACAATTGATCATAGTGAATATTTTCTACACATTGTTGAAGTCTTCCTATGGATATTTTGTTTTGAAAATTCATATCAATGTTAATTAAATTGGTCTGTGATTCTTCCCACGATTTATCCTTCCCTGGTTTAGTTATCAGGCACATATTTATTTCATAAAAAGAATTTGATAGATTGACTTCTTTTTCTAGTTGTAAAAATAATTTTACGGCATGATTATTAATTGCTTTAAAACATTTGATAAAACTTGTTTGTAAACCTACCTGACTTGTTTTTTCTCCCCTTTGGAAGTCATTTATTGTTGGTCACGTTCTTTTTCTGAGACTGGCTTTCATTAAATTTCCATTTTTGGTTCTGTTAGCTTGGGTAATTTATAATTTTTGTAAATATTCATAAACTTCTGAATTGTCAGTTTTACTTTCATAGTCTCTAATAGTTCCTTTCATTTCCTTTTGCTTTATTATGGATTCACCTTGTTCATTTTTATTAAAATTTATTAATTTAATGTTTTTCTCCTTTTCTCAATCAGGTTAACTAATGGTTTATCAATTTTGTTAGGCTTCAAAAATAGGTCTTAGTTTTGTTTATCAGTTCTTGGTTGCCTTTTTCAGTATTAATAATGTGTGATCTTAGTAACAGCCACAATGTGTGATGACTAACTTGGATAGACGCATTACTTCTTAGCACTGCAAGGATGCAAGACAACTCCAAAGGACTCATGATGGAAAATGCTATTCACATCCAGAAAAAGAACTATGGAGTCTGAAAAAATGCAGATTGAAGCATATTATTTTCTCTCTTTTTTCTTTCTTTTTTTTTGTTTGTTTTTTCTTTCTCGTGGTTTCTCCCATTGGTTCTAATTCTTCTTTACAACACGACTAATGTGAAAATAGGTTCAGTATGAATGTATATGTAGAGCCTATATCAAATTGCGTGCTGTCTGGGGGTGAAGGGGAGAGATGGGGAGAAAATTTGACACTCAAAATCTTATGGAAGTGAATGTTGAAAACTAAAAATAAATAAATTAATTAAAAAAAATTTTTTTAGTGTGTAGTGTTTTCTCTCATGTCTTTAATACCTTCCCTTCCTTCACATACATTATTTTGTCCCTCAATACCCTTATGATTGTATCACCTCAGCCTGGATCCGCTATATGTACACTTGGTTTAATTCCACTGCTTTTCTGGTCTGTGTTCTCTTTAGTGACATTTTTACAATCTCTTTAAGCATTTCTGACACTTTGATTTCACAATGGAAGTGTGGTTACTCAACTGTCCTTGATGGTGAAAAAAGTTTGTAATGAAATTATTTGCAGATCTTTTCCATCTATTTAATCATCCTGTGTCTGCTTTCATCTTTAAATGCCATTGTATTGCCTTCACTGAGTTTTAGTCTCTCACTAAATTTACTTTAAAGAAGTTTTTAATTCCTCCCCCACTGCCTGTCATTGTTTCTCTTTTCTGTATGACATGATACTGCTCCTAATGTTCCATCTTTCTTTTCCATAAGATTTTCTACATAAGTTTTTATTCTAAACTGGTCTTGCTTTTCACTGCCAACTCTCTCCAACTCGCAACTAAGTAAAGTGTTTGTTGATTGAGGTGCTTTTTAGATTCCTCGTTATGGACCACACCTAGCTGACCCTAAAGCTTACCTTAAATCATGACTATCAGTTGACATTTAACGGCCTCCAATATCGTATCCTGGAAGCTTTAAGTCATGTTAAGACACAAAGAAGAAGACAAAAAAGGAAAAGGAAAAGATAGTACAGGGGAAGAAAACAGGCAGGTGCCAGTAGAGAAGCAGGGGGCAGAATCTTCACCTTGCTCCTTCTGAGTAAATGCTAGAGCCTGTGGGAGGGTAAGGTTGAAACTAGATAGATATCAAAGCAGAAAACTTCCAGAGAGCAGGTAATGGTTTTACACTTATATACATAGTTACTGAAGGTGAACACAGCATTACTACAGACTCTAACATACACCTGTCATAAATAGGTATCTGGAAGCCCAGAGAGATGTATGGGAATGCAGGTAGAGGCTGGGAATTTATACATAGATGCCTAGCCTTCCAGGAGAATGGGCATGAGAGTCCAAAAAGAAGAGAGACTGAGAAATAAGTCAAAAGGGAGAGGGCAAGTGGGATATAAGTACCAGAAGCTGGGGTGCATGCGTCAGGTCTCAATCTGTGAAGGTTAGGCACAGTGATCAGTCAATATCCATATGGCAAGCACAGGTCCAGAGAGAGGGAATCTGGGCCTACTGCAACAGTCCTGGAGCAGCTAGGGTAAGAGGCTAGATAGGCCTTGTAGACTAAAGGTACAACAACAAATTCCTCCATACACAGGGGCTCAAGAGCTTGGCTTCGTTGTAGCTACTGAAAGACTGAAGACGAGCAGAACCATAGTTACAGGAATATCAGGGTTTAAAGGCAGAACCCCAATAATTTTAGAGACAACAATCCCTAAGACCTCCGTCAGATTAGGACTTGACTTGATGCGAAGCCAGAGGACTATCACAGTATGGCATCTCATATCCACCTTGCATATGGTTCAGAGCAGATCCAAAGAATGAGGCCAGGTCAGGGAGTCATGCAGATGAGACATACCTGCCAGAGTCAGATGGATTCAGGGACAGAGAGGCAAGCAGACACACAAGTGCACTGTGACCAGGAAGCACACTCAGGTAAAATGCACCAAGGTGAAGCCCAACAAGGATGGAAAGAACCTAAGGAACTTCCAGGACTCTGAACTCTTAACCTCAGGAACATGAAGGGCAGCTCCAACCCCAAAAGAGCTTTCCTGGAGACAGTGAACTAGCCACTCAGTTCACATGGTAACGGAGACTATGACATCCTCAGTGGGCAGTGAGGTCATAGAATGCATGCTATAAAATAAGGGAATCATGGGGGTTTCCTTTATCTTTAAAAGAAACTCCTGAGAAGAGCTTAGAACAATTTTTTTCCCCTCGAGTGCCATTTTCCAAAGGTACTCACCGACAAATAAGGTGTGACTGTAATGGCTGCACTAAGTTGTCTGTTGGACAGTGTAAGAAGAGACATAAGGAAGGTGGACAGAGAACTAAGGCAATTGAAATGCCTCGACGAATGCACACGTTGCCTCTGTGACTTCTACGTGCACCCTTATTGCTATTGTGACTTACATCCATACCCGTATTGCCTGTGCTATACAAAATGCTCACGCGTTTGTGGGTTATGTGATCTATATCCATATTGCCTGTGTGATATCAAGCTATTCTGTCTTCAACCATCAATCAGAAGTTTGGAGAGGAAAGCCATTAAAGCCATTCTGGATGAAAAGAAAGAACTGATCAAGTAAACTTATTCTTAGCTATTTATAGTTGTTAATATTAACCTGATAAGCTGGGATGAGGAAAGAGGTTCAATGATTGGTTCTTGCACAAAGGTGAAATAATGCATGGGAATAATAAGAATGCTTTAGCAAGGAGAAGGAAGAGGAAATGAGCTAACTGAGGAATGGAGGTAGTAAGAGTGACTATGACATGAATATGGGTTTATAGTGTTACTTTTATTATTATTATTATTATTATTATTATTATTATTATTATTGTTATTGTTATTACATTTGAGGAAAAGAAATGTGGGGTACCCAATGATCAAAGGCAAAAAACTCAGGGTCTTTTCCTGCCTGGGGGAAAAGTGAATCGAGTCTGTTTGAAATTAGAGAAATGATGATGGGGGAAGTAGTGATAAAAGATGTCTTAACATATATACTCTAGGTTTTGTAAGCAGGGAAGCAAAGAGGATAATACAGGCAATAACAGTTTCCCCCCCAAAAGGCCAAATGATACCTTGAAACTCATATTTATTTCATTACTTCCTTATCCAAGAATAGTAATGTATCTGAAGAAGGAAAGAAATCTATGCTACAGTGGAAAGAATGCTGGTCTTGGAGTCAGAGTACCTGAGCTCAAACCCCTATTCTATCACCAAGTACCTGTGTCATTCCTGGACAAGTCTCTCCCTGGACCTTAGCTTCCCCATATGTAAAATGAGAGAATTGGACTAGAGTGGTATCAAACTAAAATAGAAACACTGCATATTGACTTAGAAAAACACAAATTAGCCTTATCTGTGTGATATTTTATTGATTTTGTTAATTATTTCTTAATCATATTTTAGTCTGATTCAGACAGCCCTCTGGAGTTTCTGGCTGCTTGTGGCACAGGAGAGTTTGACATCTCTGGCTCTCTAGGACCTACTTCTAAGGCCCCTTCCGGCTGTAGATTCTAAAGAGCTGAACTAAAATTGCTGCTTGTTTTCAGACTAGACTCCAAAATGCTTCAGTTTTTAAAGAAGCAATGTTTTATAGTAGATTTTTTAAAATTTCTTTTGGGGGAGATTTTTTTTTTCTTTTTGCTCAGACCAAACCTTCCTTGGTAACTTTTTTCCTCCTCCTGTCCAGTTGATTACAGTGTAAGTTTAGCTGTTCCCATTGAAGACCTCTCACTAATAGGAGGAAGTGTAGACAATGCTGCATTACATATGCTGACAGAGAAAGACAGCACCATTCTCCTATTAGCATGGAAGGAGGGGGTGTAAGGAATGCCATGCCCCCTGGTACTCTGAAACATCATTCTCCCATTTGTTGAAGGCCATTTGTGTGATCCTTTCTCATGTTTGACACACTTCAGGATATGGGAGAATAGAACTCACATTCACTACAACAGGAAGGTACAAGAATTGAATGGTGGTGAAGGTACAAGAGAAAGGTCCAGTTATGAGAGACTCAGAAGTGTTCCTTTAAAAAACAAAACCCAGATGTCATCAAGTGAACTTGTTTTTAAGAAGATAAAATCATTTAGCACATTCTATTTGGTCATATCATTTTCTTTTTCCCATTTTTTGTATTACAGAAAAAAATGTGAAAGCATAAGCAATGTAAAAATAGTGGGTCAGATCCATGCATATTCCGTCAACCCAATATTGTAATGCTTTGATAGGGCCATCTCCAGTCTTATCCCGCCGCTGGATCCAGAGGGTGAGGCTGGTAACTTTGCACAGCCCTCTCTCACTTAAATCCAATTCACTTCCATGTCATGGCATCACCTCCTTGAGGTCATGGTCGACCTTGAGCATGAAGGACAAACAATAATGCTTTGACAACAGCATCAAGCGATGTTTGTCTGGAGGGCATAATCTTCTTTTATAATCCATCTGAAAAGATTAGGATGTACTTCCCCTAATAACTCATTCTTAATTACTCATCCCTAAATTTATCTAAACCCTTCTTGGTTTTCTATTTTGAAACCTCTTGGAATAAATATCCCTCAAATATCTATTACTATCATGAAGAGTATTAAACCTTATATTCTTTTTTTCTAAACTTATAAGTATCTCATTTGAATTTCAAGAAGGGTCCTTTCAACATCAGTTCTGGCCTTCTCAACTTTATGAGAACAAGTCCATATTCACTGATACAATTTTTGGGGGTGGGGGGAGGGGGGTTGAGGGAAGGGCAGACCCATGATTTTCATCAGTGTGGAAGATTCTCTGTGGGCAGCTTACCCATTGTTATACAGCTTGTCTGTATGACAAAAACTTGAACCCAGATCTTTTAGACTACAAGGCTAATTGTCTCTTCACTAGGCCTGGCTCCTGCATATCTTTATGTAAAATGCCATTCCTGATTTTGCTAAACTGACACTTTGCTTGCTGAGCCTTAGTCTTCCCAGGCTACATCCCCATTTTTACTAAGTCCCTGCTTATGAAGAAGCATCCCCGTTACCTTGATCTCTAGCTTTGCTATGTTTTTCTTGTGGTTCAGGGATTAGATCCCATGTGCTATATTATTATTACCTGGTGTGGCTACCCCATGATGTTATATGAAGCAGGCTTATGATTTCCACTTTATTCTGTTTGTGATATTTTAAGAATGCCCAGCGTTTTGTTTGTTGTTGGCCCTTTTAAGCTACAATAGCCCAGTCTGCAGTAACTCCCAGTTCCCTTCTTGGATTCATGGATGATATTCCGGGTTTATCAGTTTATAAACTATTTTCATTTATTTCTCAATTATTTTATCCCAAATCCATTAATATCTGGACCACATAGAAACTCGTCTTATACTTCCTTGCCTGTTCATTTCTGTCTCTGATGTTCTGGCATTTCACCAAGTAGAAAAACTTGGTATCACCCACAGAGATAGTTCTTTCACTTTCCTAGGGCATTGAAGAAAAGAATCAAATAAAACTGATCCTAGCACCCATCTTTCGAAGACTCTCCCTCACCCCAGCAAATACTCTTTCTAAAGGAATATGTGATTATTCCTATCCTGTTTTCTACCCTTGAGTTCTCGAAGGATGACCACACAGACCCCACATGCCAAGGTGACAGTTTTTAGAATAGTTTTGATATAGAACCTTCTTGTATGGCATTTAAAAAATACAGATCAGTCCCATTCACAGAACTGCACCATCTGTGAACTGGAAAGGGCCTCATAAGTCTCTGATCCAAACCCGTATTTGAAAAAGAATCCATGTTCTAACATACTTTAAAAATGGTCAACCAACTTTTGCTTAAAAGATGTTCAATGAGGGGGAATGTATTGCATCTTTTGCCTTTCTTCTAGTTCAGCACTCTGGAGCCAAAAAGGATAAATTTGGGCTAGATTCCACCTGATGGCCCCTAAAACACTGGACAGCTGTCATGTCCCTGTCTGAGTCTTCTCTCCAGGATAACATCTACAATTCTTCAAGCTAATCCACATACTGCAAATATTCAAGGTCCTTCACCATCCGGGTCTCCTTCCTCTGAATGCTCTCCAACCTATCAGTGATGTTGTTGTTCATTCCTTCATTCATTCACTCTTCCTGACCCTGTGGACCATAATACACCAGGCCCTTTTATGCTCCACTATCTCAAGAAGTTAGTCCAGGCTCAAGTTCATTGCTTCTATCACACTATCTATCCATCTCATTCTTTGCCATCCCCTTCTCCTTTTACCTTCAATCTTTTCTAACACCAGGGTCTTTTCCAATGAACCTCATCTTCTCATTATATGGCCAAAGCATTTCAGCTTCAGTTTCAGTATTTGTCTTTCCAATTAGTAGTCTGAATTAATTTCTTTAAGTATTGACTGATTTGATCTCTTTGCTGTCTATGGGCTCTCAAAAGTCTTCTTTAGTACCACAATTCAAAAATGTTGATTCTGCAGTGCTCAGATTTCCTTATAGTCCAACTCTCACAACTGTACATTACTGCTGGAAAAACCATAGCTTTGACTACACAGACCTCTGTCAGCAGATGATGTCTCTGCCTTTTAGTGTGCTGTCCTGATTTGCCATAGCTTTCCTTCCAAAGAGCAAGCATCTTTTAATTTCTTGGCCGCAATCACCATCTGCAGTGATCTTTGAGCTCAAGAACATAATATCTGATGCTGCTTCTATTTCTTCTCTCTCTATTTGCCAGGTAGTGATGTGACCAGTTGCCATGATCTTCATTTTTTTAATGTTAAGCTTCAAGCTAGCTTTTACACTCTCCTCTTTTACCCTTATCAAGGGGCTTCTTAATTTCTGGGTCCTGAACAGAGTACACTGGGTGATGATTTGTTAGGCTGTATTTCCCCTTGTAGGAGCCATCTGACCTCTCCATGCAAAAGCTGTTTGTTGATCAATCATTTAATCAACAAATATTCAACAAGCACCTATTATATATAGCCAGGCACAATATTAAACACCGCAGATAAAAAGCCAAAAATGAAACAGTTCTGCCTTCAAGGAGCTTACATCCTATTAAGGAAGGCATGTAAATACAACATAATTGGGGAAGAGGAAGGTCAGTCAGTCACAAAGCATTTAGAAAAGACCTTCCATAAAAGATGGTGCTTCACATGAGCTTTGAAGGAAATTAAGGATTCTAGTTATGCTTAGGTATTGAGTGATCTTGCATTTTTATTACTGATTCTATCAGTTTGCCTCCAGTAGCTCCCAGAATGCCCTTTGCAGCATTAGTTCTGAATGGTCAAGCTTCTTAGCCAAATATCAACCCTCTAGCATAATGATATTTAAGCATCTCGTTGAGAATAGCCTTCTGATACTCCTAGATGTGGGGCAACTGGTAATAGATTTCAAAGGTTGTTTTTTTTTTTAACTGAATAGTCCATCATTTCTTCATGAAATTTCTTCAGAAGTCCTAGCTCAGTGTCAGCTGATTCCAGGGATTTATAACTATCTATTTATCTCTCTCTCTCTCTCTCTACCTATCCATATGCATGCATATATGTATATTACATATACAAACTATATATATATATATATATATATACATATATATATACACTTGTGTATAACATAATG